ACACGATATAATCGGGTATTAATGATCATAATATAAAAAAGCATTTCTTATCTTCAATTAATTTAATACAATGTATACCACTATGTTATGTCTCTATCTCGATTACCCAGTGGTTGGCTTATATCACTCAGCCAACACATCGGAATTTATTCTCTGATTGCGAAGTTTGCACAAACTAATGCACTGGATTGAGCTGGCATACAATTGAGAAATTAAAATTGTCAAACTAATCACAATTTAATTTCTTACAATGTCTTTATCAGCTGATTTAAGTGTGCTTTAAAAAAAATCACGTGCGAGGCTTTTTTTCTTCCGCGTTCAGCGATAGGCCACATATATAGCATCATATTTATATTACATCACATTAATTAGAGTTCTTTATTACTCGGATCTGATTAATATTAATTCTCCAACTTCAACGCCACCACTGGGTAGATGACCAATTGATTCATTGCTGTCAGTCAACTACCCTGATCACCTCCGAAATGAAAATGGACGTAGAAACTTGAAAAGTTGAACAAAAATTTATCCTTGGATTTTTTGCCTATATCAACAGAAAATGCTTGTATCTTAAAGAAGAAGAAGAAGAAGAAATAGGAGGAAAAAGTGAATGGGAACGTGGAGCCCATGCAGAATCGGCGTTGCCTCTGACGTGACATGTCCTCATCAAAAGAGAGAAAAATAGGGGAATAGAAAAGAGAGAGAGAGAGAGAGAGCGCGCAAAAAATCAAAGAAATTGATAGGAGCCGAGGTGTCTCCGTACGGAAAAGTCTGATCTGACCTCTCGAAAAGCAACTACGCGGGCTCCACGGTCCAACCCCCTCCTCCGCATCTCCAAACAACATCTCACTGCTACAAAAGGAATTTTTTAGAGCGCGTTTTATCAGAGCGCTTAAGTAAAATAGCGTTACCAAAAATAAAGGCAAAACCCGGAGCACCTGCATTAAAAAGGTTAAAATGTATAAAAAAATTTTAAATTTTAAAACTATTATATATAACCTCTTTTATTTTTAAAAACTTAAAATTCACCTCGCAATCTTTAATTTTATTTTTTAAAATTCTATATTATTAATTATATTTTTTTATAAAAATTAAAATATTATTAATTAAAAAATATTATTAAATAAAAATATTATATTGTATAACTATTTATAATAATTTTTTATATTTTTTGAATATTATTACCATTGTATAAAATTTTAAATATTTATATTTATATTAGTTTTATTCAATTTTTTGTTGTCAATGATACATGATGTTATTATTTTAAAAGATAAATTTTTATTTATTTTTTAAGTTAAATTAATGTAATGCACGTGGTTAAAATATTTTAAATTTTAAATATTTTGTCAAGCCTAAACTGGTGATAAATTGAAATCGTATAAACTTTTAATTAAAAATATATGAATTTTATATTGTGTATAATAGATTTTGTGTTACACATTGTTTGCCTAAATTGAGCATTTTGTTAAATCTAACCTGTTGATAAATTGAAATCATATAAACTTTCAGTTGAGAGTATATGAATCTCATATTGTACATAGTAGATTTTGTTTGTACATTGTTTACCTAACTTAAACATTTTGTAAAGCCTAGCCTACTGATAAACTAGAGTTGTATAGACTTTTAGTTGATAATATATGAAATTTGTGTTGTGTATAATGGATATTGTATTGTACATTATTTACCTACTTGTACATTTTGTTAAGCCTAACCTATTAATATAGCAATATTGATAAATAACTTATCACGAACTTATTTACAACTGCTTTTAACTAGTCATCCATTTGGGAGGCCACAAATAAGGAAGATAGAGTCTCAATTTCAGGATAAGAAATTGTATTATTATTCAAGATGTGGGGAGGTTAAACACAATTGTAAGACATGCAAGAATACTAACTTAGTATGAAAAGTAGTCACATTATACTTTTTTTGTGTATATGAGCAACTATAATTATGTATATAAAAACATTTCTAATTAATATTTTTTGAATAATTATGAGTCATAAATATTTTTTATTTGTATATAGAAAAGTCAAGGTTAGATATTTTAAATATAATTACTAACTTTTTGTATATATTAGACTTCAAATATCATGTCAAATTTTATATGGGTACTTATTTTAGTAACTAAGCTAGTATCAACATAAAATTATTCATATTTGATATAATTGTCTTTCTTAATATTAAAAAAGCATGGATTTTAAATTGAGCATACATAAACATTGTTTCATGCATAATAGATGTTGTGTTGTGCATGGTTTATCTAAATTGTCCATTTTATTAAGCCTAGGCTATTTCAGAAAGCATGGATTTTAAGTTGAGCATACGTGAGTATTGTCTTGTGCTTGGTAGATATTGTGTTGTACATGATATAACTAAATTGCCTGTTTTGTTGAGTCTAAGTTACTAAAATATTAAAAAGGCATGAACTTTAAGTTGAGCATAGGTGAGCATTATTTTATGCATAGCGGGTACTGTGTTATGCATAATCTACCTAAGTTATTTATTTTGTTAAGTTTAGGCTATTGAAATATTGAAAAGACATAAATTTTTAGTTGAGCATATATAAATATTGTCTTATACATAATAAATACTGTGTTGCACATAGTTTCAAGCATGTTTTTTGAATTCGAATCAAATAAATGCCAAAAATAATTACAGTAAAAGCCCTAAGCCCTACAGTATAATATCAAACTTTTTCAGGCTCAAACTACAATTATGTGTTTTTTTTAGGATCTTATGTCATTTTTTTTAAAAAAGTATATATATATATATATATATATTCAAGCGGATTCATCTAGACTACTGTTGATCCTGGATCAAACGGTGGTTTAACTGGCGCGCGCATTGCGCTTAGCTCAGAAGCGTCGTCCCGTTTCCGACATGGGCATCAGGGGTACACGTGAGCATTGCACGGTTCGGAGGCTCCTGAACAGGGCCCAACCTTTTTTTTTTTTAATATCTTTGTTCTGTTTTTGTTGCTTCCTCCTCCTAAAAACACAATTAGGGGATTCAAATCTGTTTTTTTTTTTAAAAAAACATAAGTAAGGTGTTTCAAATATGGTTGCGTTGAATAAAAGAATAAATATGACTAATAAAAAATATATTTTGTTTTAAAAAGAAAAGTCCTTTAGTTGAATCAGAAGGTTGCATCGCATCCAATTGACCAGACTGCGCGATATTCTCGCATTATGTCTCCGCAAGCACGTTCGTGGCAACCCATTGCGATCAGAATCGTCCCAGTTTTTTTTTTTTTTTAATCTTTTTGTGATTTCGATGTCGTGCTTTTTTTTTTCCCCTTAATAATATTATTCGAACGCTGTTTTGGTGAGTGGAGTACAAATTTATGACGTGGCATTTTATAAAGTTTTTTCACCTCTCAATGATCACAACAATCTAAAATACTTGTACAAATAATTGATGCATTGTAAAACTGATCTCATCATTCCTTAAACTTTCCGAAATTCGCGACATTATTTTTTTAATATGAAATTCGCGACAATATTCATGTTTGAGAGGACACCAATGGGTTGAGATGGGAACTTGAAAATTGGTTTTAACGAAGGCGTGATTCCTTACTCCATTCAGCAGGAGAACATGAGCCGTGATTGATCTATTGGCCAAGGTGGGTGGACAGGGCTCTCACTTTTTTTTTTTTTCGAATAATATATTTGCCAAAACAATGGATCATGGGCACAGTTCACAACATAAATCCAGTGTCTAATGGGCCTTATATATACCATCTTCAAAACAGCTCTCTTGCACTTGTTTCTACCCCAAAAAAATTAAAAAAACAAAAAATCTTTTGTAGCCTGAGGATAGTCTCTCAGTTCTAATATTTTAATAGTAAACTATCCTCATTTTTACACCCAAGTCCCAACCTTCCGAAGGATCTTTTCCTTCGGAAACATAAAAAAAATTTAGAAAATTCATCATTAAAATAGAAATATAATAAAAAAATAGTTATATTATCCACAACTTATAAAAAGAATGAATTTTTATAAATTATAAATATATATGTATGTATGCATGATAGAACGTGAGAAGTCAAGAATAAAAAGTTGGAGTAGCAAATAAAAAAATGTTGAGATGGATGTGCAGTCATACATATAAAGATAAAATCCAAAACGAGCACATGCAAAAAAAGTGAGTGTAGCACCTATTGAAAGAAAAATGATAAAAAAAATTGTTCAAAATGATTTGTACATGTACAAAAATTATAACGAGAGGTATCAGTGATGAGAGTTGAATGAATAATTTTGAACTATGTTAAAAAGAGTTAAGGAAGGCTGAAGATAATACTTGTGAAAGTTGTTGACTGATATCTCTTAGCTAACAACATTTTTAAAAAATTAGTAAATGATAAAATGCAATAACGCTGTACAATCCACATAAGCAACCCAACTTAATGGAACTTATTTATTTATTTATTTTTGGTTTTCCACCTAGTATCCTGGAGTATCTGAGTATTTTGTGTTCTATTGCCCACCTAACTCAATCCAGACTAATCCAGATCCTCACATAAGTAGGGCCTTTTTGTGGAGATTTTGCAGGTATCAATTGTCTGACCTCCTTACTATTTAGACAAGCATCCGTTGGTACGGAATTTGTTATTGTATGTACGTATGTATGGTGTTGGGCCATCGGTACATTTAAATGTGGGTATTCGCGGGCCAGTTTGGTTTGGTTAAGGTGGGCTTCGTTGAGGGTTTTTTTTTAACAGCATCCAAAAACATACGTGACTCAATTTCATTGGCGATATTGGGCCGAGCCTATCATCTGATTGGGTTGGACTCAGAAAAATGTGACTCAATTTCAATGAGCCCAACCAGCCCAAAGTACTTGGTTCCATTACAGGTACAAGTTTCTTTATGCAATCACCGACACTTTCTCAAGCCTTACCGCGTAAATTAAGTAATTAACAGAACCAGCCGGACTTTAAAAGGTGTGTTGTGTTTCATTAATTTATTATATTTTAATTTAATCAGGATTCCAGATAAATTTATAGCTCTCCTGATTGTCTGCTGCACTCTTGATATTCAAAAGATCCGCCATTAGAGAGGCTCGGCTATTCACTCTATTCTAGTTATCTCGCTACGATATGGGTTCTCTGTCTCCATTTTCAGACGCTGTTTCTCCCTCACCATCCAAACAATCCCTTCCTCTGATCGACGAAGCCGCCCTGCTCAGCCTCTTCAAATCTCAGCAGAACCACATCAACTTCTTCTTCAACAACATCGACCATTCCCAAACCCTGGCATTCACTCGTACCCTTCTCAATTCCTCCGGTACTATCTTCTTCACCGGTGTCGGCAAATCTGGATTCGTCGCTCACAAGATCTCGCAGACTCTAGTCTCCCTCGGCATCACCTCTGCATTCCTGTCCCCCGTCGACGCTCTCCACGGCGATATCGGAATTCTCTGCGATCGTGACGTTCTCGTCCTCCTCAGCAAATCTGGTAACACCGAGGAACTTGTTAGGCTTGTTCCCTGTGCCAGGGCCAAGGGGGCCTATCTGATCTCGGTTTCCTCCGTCGAAGGGAATGTGTTGGCTGGCATGTGCGACATGAACGTGCATTTGCCTTTGGAGAGGGAATTGTGTCCCTTTAATCTGGCGCCGGTGACTTCCACAGCCATCCAGATGGTTTTCGGTGACACGGTGGCGATTGCTCTTATGCAAGCCAGAAATTTGAGCAAGGAAGACTACGCCAGCAATCACCCCGCTGGGAGGATCGGCAAACACCTTATCTTCAAGGTGCAGCTTAATTCCGTGTTGCTTTCTTTACCATTTTGTTAAATTTTTATTCCGCAAGATGATCCATATTATGAAGATGAAAGAATTACGAATAATGAAAATTAAACTGGTATAAATGACGATGGCTAATTAGCTCACCATTGTGTCTCGTTTTGTTGAACAACTTGTTATTTTCTCATCAATAATCGCTAATTCGTTATATAGTAGGGATATTTCTTGTGATGGTCTAATGATTCGTTATTTTGTTGTTCTTTGTTGGCTTTGTGGTGACAATGCTAGACTCTACGAATTTTATTGATCGTAGCTGATCTGGGTTCACTGTTATGCGCTAAATCAGGAGTAGATTTGATTTATATTTCCAACACATGTTTCCATTCCCATTTATTTTAACCTTGAGGACGTCAGATTTTGTCGTTAGAGTTGAAATGTGGCTTTGGCTTCTGGTATGCTGTTTCTTACCAATCACATTTTATTGCCGCATGGTTATTGCTGTTGATAGGGATTTAGAACCTAGAGTAGAGTAGTGGGAATGGCATTTTCAAACATTGAACTTTTATAGATATCAAGAACAAAACTTACGGCCAGAGTTTAGGCACATGCATTCTTGAAGCCGAAGTAATATCTTCTAATGGAGAAGTCACTTTTGGAGCGTTATTGCTTTGACTCTTCTGCTCTTGTTTCTTGTCTTCTGTCCTTTTCGTGAGGTGAGCATTAGACAGAAGACTACTCACTACTTAATGTTGTAGTTACTGCAGATTATTACCACAAATTTGGTTTCCTCGACTGTCTTGTTCTCTTAACAGTAGCTTCTAAAATACATAGATGCTCATCATCTAAAAAGTAAAAGATGGCTTGATTGCTATGTGCAGGTAAAGGATGTCATGAAGAAGCAGGACGAGCTTCCTGTTTGCCGGGAAGCAGATCTAATTATGGATCAGCTGGTGGAATTGACGAGTAAAGGATGTGGATGTCTGCTTGTTATAGACGAGCAACGCCATCTGATTGGAACATTTACAGATGGTGATCTACGACGCACTCTCAGAGCTAGTGGGGAGGGCATTTTCAAGCTCACTGTGGGCGAAATGTGCAACAGGTAAGAGCATGTAATTGCACAATACATCTATTTGGAAAGCTAATTCTTTCGTAATCGCGTAATAGTGAAAGTGATATCTTCTGAGATGACATTTTTCTAATGTCAGGAAACCAAAAATCATTGGCCCGGATGCCATGGCAGTGGAGGCCATGAAGAAGATGGAAGCACCTCCATCGCCAGTACAATTTTTGCCTGTTATCAGTGATGAAAATGTCTTGATTGGCATTGTTACTTTGCACGGTTTGGTTTCGGCAGGGCTGTAATAACATCTGTGCCTGCAACAGCGTAGAATGATTTTTTCCCCCCCAGAAAAATGATTCTATACCATTCTTTGTAGTATAATTGCAATGTTTGAATCCAACCCCTATAAAGTTGGGGTTCAGCTGTTGTACCATGTATCAACGTTTTATTTTAAAACATGCGTTGTCAAATCCTAGGAAATGAATCACGTTATTCGTAGTTTATGAACAATAGAGTTAATAATTGTGTAGGTGGGTGTTTTGATATGTTTTTTCATTGTCTTGAGAAGAAGTGCATTATTTGATGTGATGTTGATGCTATGTCCTATCCAACAGTAATGGGCAAAATTAATGATGGGGGCCGGGTGGTGCAGGTAAATACCAAGGTAACAAAACTATACTTTTTTCATGCAACTCAGGATGAGACATTTGCAAGGGACTAAATCTAACGTGAGTTGAATTATTTGCCGGTTAAAATCTATTTTTTGAACATATATTTATTATTTGATACATGGAAAATAAATTTTAATCACTCAGTGCATACGCACACGCACACAGTATATGTTTAGTGTCACAAAGTTTCTCTATTTTATGCTGAACCATCGTCTCTTGATTCCTGAGTGGTTTATCACTTGTAACAGTTATTATTATTATTATTATTATTTATAAATGTAGGCGGCCTAACTAAGGCTGGGTAGTATTATTGCAATCAGCTAGTAAAAGAAAAAAATACATCAAGGGGCGGAGAGAACACCCTAGTGAATCCTGGCCAAGTATTGAGGGCTAGTTTGGCAAGGCCATCCACAACAGCATTACCATGTCTACAAGAATGACGCACACTCACATGCCACTCTCTACAAAAGAATTCTTAAATCTCACCAACAAGCATATGGTAATCGTGAAGAGGGTTGTACTCCCTATTAACAAGATGAATTGCCTCAAGAGAATCACTTTCCACCATTGCTTTTCGGTGCCCTCAGTCCATGTTTCCTTTAACGCAAGCAAAATTGCCCAAAGTTCAGCTTCAAGACTTTCCGTGCCAATATTTTCTTGAATAAACCCAGAAATAAAGTAACCAGTATAATTCGAAGCACCCCCCACATCCTCCTGTACCCGTTCGATAAAAGAAGGCGCTATCAATGTTAGTAACGATCCATCCCTGCGAAGGAGCTTGCCAAGTGGCAATGTCAGTCCTTGTTATTTGTCCTGACAAATTTGTCCCGACTATAGCAGCCTTCTGTTTTCCCATGCTCGAAAGGACAAAGAGCGCTTGTGCATGTATGGACTCATTGCTTCTAGTTTCATTCTCAAAAATATACTTGTTTCTTCTTTGCCAAAAAAGCCAACAGCACACCGAAAACAATTCACGCCAATCTGGACGTATCTTACTTCCTGGGCCATTCAAATTCCATCAGAGCCATTGTGTAAGATTCAGGTTCAGGTCAAAAAACACACCTTGATGATTGGGATGCACTAATCGGCACCAGAATTGGTAAGTTTGTGGGCAATCTCGAAGAACATGTAACGCATCTTCCTGGCAATCAGGACACCAAGTGCATCGACCATCAGTGTTCATCTTTCTTTGCTTCAGTGCTTCATTGATAAGCAACCTGTTATGTAAGACAAGCCACATGAATAGCCTACACCGTTGAGGAATATTCAACTTCCAAAGTTTGCCCAATATCATGTCCGTTGTTGGTTTTTCCTTAGACAAGTGGTAGTACGCAGATTTAACTGAGAAAGCACCATGCTTCTCCCATTTCCACTTGACATATCTTGTTCGCCATTAACAAGCTCAGTGCCATCACGCACTCCTTTCTGGGTAGCCTTTATACCAACCCAAACATTTGAGCTTGCTCTCTACTCATTGATGGTTGAATCACGTCACCTTCACATTTGTATTTGCTTCTAATAACCCGTACTCAGAGGTCATCTCTCTGTTTCATTAATTTCCATCCTAACTTCATAAGAAACGCTTGGTTTTAAGTCCTTGCATGCTTTATACCAAGTCCTCCGTTTATTTTGCTTTGTCCCACATCATTCCAAGACACTAAATGGATTTTCTTTTTATCTTCTGTAGAGCTCCATATAAAGTCTATTCATTTGATCAAGAGTATCACATGTATGAGTTGGTAGCTCGGTATCCATATCACACGTATGCTGTAGCCCAGTATTGCAGAGTTGACTAATGCAACAAGAGTGGTCCACCCCACAAGAGACAGTGGGGTAGCTTTGCAAGACGAAAGACGCTTTTTAATCTTGTCAACAACATCATAAAATGTTTCTTTCCCCATTGGTTTAGTGTGAATTTGAACTCCAGGATAGTGGCCACGATCGGCAGTGCGAGTAAATCTAAGCATAGAGATAATTTCGCCCCGTCGAACGATATGCACATTTTTTGAGAAAAAGATTCGAGTCTTAGCATTCATTTTCATCTTGAAACTATCATGAAACTAGCTTAGACACTGATTAATCACATTGGCTTGGGCTAACGAAGCTTCCGCGAAGAGAATAATATCATTAGCGAACAATAAATGTGATATTTGGGGGCCTTCCCTTCCAAGCCGCATAGGTTCCCATCTGCATCATCTATTTTCTATTGGATTAAGTGAGCCAACCTCTCCACACAAATAACAGAGATAAGGGGATATAGGGTCACCTTATGGTAAGAATGCCTCAGATTTATTGCCAATTCAGAGAAGTTGCATAGTAGATGAAGGCATACTCTGAGCAATAACATCAGTAATATGAGCAGGAAACTTGAGGTGGTCCATGCAGTCAAAAAGAAAATTTTAATTAAGTTTATCGTAAGCCTTCATCTTATTAGTTATCACTTTAGTAGTAGCTTTAAAAATAACATTGCATAAACTTATGGTCTCAAGTCAGGTACCCTTTTAGGAGGAGATTTTTTCAAGATAAGAACAATAAAAATACCATTTATTTCGTTAATTGCCTGGGGATTATTGAAAAAATATTTTACTGTCGATGTCACTGAGTCTCCCACATGTTCCCATTGACTTTGATAGAAGATAGCTCCAAAGCCATCAGGTCCAGGTGATTTCAGCACTCCCATACTTTGAATGGCCTCCTTAATTTCATCGTCCTCAATATCATGACGAAAGAAGAGAAGGATCTCATCCTCAATCTGTGGATATTTATACCGGGTATTCAGTTTTGACCTGTCAAAATTGTCTTCATTGAAGAGATCCTTGAAATAATTTCATAGCCAATTCCTTTAGTTCACCGCAATTATTTGGTTGTTAATAATTTAGGAAGTAGGAATCTGCTCTGGCGTAATAACCGACAAAGATTCCTTCCTTTCAAAGCACAAAGTACTCATGAGATCCGGCGAACAAAACTTCGAACTTTTTTCCGAGCCTCACTTCTGCCAAAGTCAGGACAAGATGACATCAATTTAGATTTTACGCGGTCATAAAACGAAATATATATATATATATATATGGTATATTTAAACAAAGAAAAGGGAAAAGGTATAATAAATGAAGCAATAAAATATCCAAAGCAAAAAATGTAATAATAATTAATTTTCCCCCTTTTATATCATCATTTCAATATAATATATATGAATACAAAAAATTAATTTTAATTTATTTGGATCTACTTTAAAACAAAATCAAGAACAGAAAATCTTAAGAGGAAACACAATGAAAGCAGAAAAGGTAGGAAAATCACAACAGGTTAAATTTTCCTATTTCTAATTGCGGTCTAATCAAAAGTCGAGAGGGGTTACAAGCTTTACAATAATGTGATTGTGGTAGAATTAAAACTTGAGCATGATTAACATGAAGCCCCGAAATGCAGCTCAAAGTCTAAACCATGAATGGATGCACCATTCGCACATCCAGTACTGCACTAACACAACTAAACATCCGAATCACTCACTGTATGGATGATTCTTTTATGGGGATAAACCCTTTCAGCACTGCTCCACGATTTTTTTTTTTTTTTTAACTATCAGCAAGTCAAGTGTCATCATCGGATCCTGATGATGAAGCTGAACTATCTGAAGAAACATCAAATGACCTGATTTCCGGAAGAAGTGACACATAACCTGACGTTAAACTAAGACCTAGAAAATCCCTAGATACTTTTGGGTCATTTTCAGCCAAGTTTGGAACTGATGACTGAACCTTGCGCGACTTGAGATCAGGTTTAATGGCAGGAGCAGAATTGACCCCACTCTTGTGTCTTGCTGTAGATTGGTGACCTACCTTTTTCTGTTTTGCCATCGATTTACCTACACATGTTGAGTCAGGTAACGGTGGCTTCAATTTTGCCTCAATGCTGGTAGAGATACCATCAGTGCCCGAACCTTTGGGCTCGACTGCATGTCTTTTACGTTTCAGTGAATTCAAAAATGCCACTCTTGCTAAGGCAGTAGACGATGAAGCACTTGCATTTCCTGGGTTCTGTTTCGATGCTTTGGAGGCGACAGAGTGCACAGTTAATCCAAGATCGACTTTAGCCCATTTGTGGATAACACTTGCTTTTCCCTCCAAAGCAAGACAAAGGGTATTCAACTCACTGATTTCATATCGCCAGAGGATAAATTTGTCACTCCAAGGGCAAAAACACAGCTGCTTTCCATGATTAAGACATGCAAATTTGTTGGTCGAACATGGACAACCTATGGCAGATAAGTGCAAGTCACGGAGACATACACAACATTCTCTTTTGCAAGTGACATCGAAATCTTTTTCCATTCTCCGTGACTTCAGAGAAGCGCAAAGAAATTCCCTCTTTGAACTTTCACTCTTTCTCCGTAACTACACCAAGAAAACAAATCCAACATTCTGTTAAGACAATCAATTTGAGAAAAGCCATACTCAATAGAAAACCCCTCCCTAAGGACTTCAAATCCTTCTTTTTTATAATACAAAAGAAAAAAAAGTCTCAACCCTGCTTCAACTTCAACAGGATTTGAAGTAGACTAAAGAACAGGTCCATTAAAATTGAGGGCATAGGTCTGAGGGACTTACATCAAAAGCTTTTGTTAATATCCCATCCCTTCCACATGCATCTTTCCAGTATAAATTATCTGGGGTACCCATCCCGCAGAGTCCAATCTCAAATTGTGCCCTAACAGCTTTCCTTGCTGCCCCAAGCAACAGCTTATCGTATGAGATTGATGTCCTTCGCCTTTGTTCACAATATAACTCTACAACTTTCTGTCCATGAAGCAGCCAATCAAGAGGAGCAAAACTGACTGATTCAGAAAAATTGAAACCACAATCAAATCCGGAATGGTATGCTCCTGGGAAGACAAGAACAAACTCCCGGGGATACTGGACACAGCGATATACTGGTACACCCTCTGACTTCAATATGGCGGAGGATAACTGCATCTGCTGTACCATATTCATGTAAAAACCTCAATAGTACACATGCAAAGAGATAGTGAATCCCCAGTGGCTCTCAAGACAGCAATATAAACATCTCATTCAAATAACTTGAAATTATTTATTCTCAGAAAATTGAGTGGGTTCAAGAATAAACATTTTATACTCAATTAAAGAAAAATAACAGGTATAACTGTTAGACCAAAGCACTTTACCATAAAAGAAAGATTTCCCACAAGCAGCTTCAGGTTCAGCCAACTTGAGCGTGATGATAAACAAAGTGATTATAAGAGGCATAAATTCAAGTCCTTTAACTTGAACCTGTGCTTTTGTCTCTAAGTGCCAATGTAATTTTCAGTTGTTGAAATGAAACATATAACATTTACCCTTCACTCTGATACACAGCAACTTAACAAAGATATAAAGTGGAAACCAAAATCAAAAGCAGCTCGTACAATGGATGAAAAATGCACCAAATGAATTGGATGAAAAGTATAGCCCATGAACAATCAAACAAGAGAAAATTTCAGAAAAACAGTAGGAGTTGGGCACACAATGAAAGAGAATGAATGGAATTAATTAATTGTTAAAGACACTTATAGAGCTCATCTAAGCAATCAGATGATAATTCCAATATATAAGCATCTCTGAATGGCTTAGTTTACGACGAATGTGACAAGGTGCCCAGTGACTAAAAATCTTGCCCTATTACTGTTCAAGGATTAAAAAAATCTTCATAACCGGCACTCATATTTAACTCACCAAATTGTCAAGCAAATCAGACTCTTCTGCAAACAAAATTGGGAGATGCTTCTTCCTCACTGTTTCAAAGTCAGCAGCAAATCTTCCCGGAATGCTATACCAAACTCTAGGCTCTCCCACATGCATGTAACACAACGAGTACAACTGGTGCTCTTCCACTTTCTGTTCTCTCAAATCATTAACAAGATAAATAGAAAGAAGAAATTCCACAACAAAAGATATATTAATTTGCATCAACAAATTTTCCCTGAAAATCAAATAGGAATTAAGAAATATCTAAAACATGTTAAAGACAAAGAAATGAATGCAGATAGCAGGATATACAAGCTATGGCAACTAACCCAATTGAATGAAGAAAAGCACATTCCAACGTGAACCTGAGGGGCAAATTTGCTAGAAACCTCGGAGCTTTCAAATGAAAGGAGAGAACCAGCTTGTGTAAGCATATTATTTAAATTCCATCCAGATCTCATACATTCAGGATGATTTAACGACTCCACAGAATCAGACACCATTGGAAATCCACTGCTTAAAACTCCAGTCCCCAAGTCATTACCAAAAACCACCTATAGAATAGCATAAATTAGTTTCACATTAAGTCTAATATCAGAAGACATGGAATATAAGGCATTGCCTGTTTATAATTTTTTTCATTGATGTACCTCAATTTCATCAGTTGGATTTTGAGTAATTCGTCCATACTCTCCCTCAACATTTTCCACAGATGGCTCCCACTTTTCATCAGAACCCATGACATTATTGTCACGGTGGAAGTACTTGGCCTTGAAATCATCAGCAAATTTCTTAAATGTACTGAGACTGAAGGTAGGGCCAGGTTGAGACTCTAAGTCTTTAACATCATGGGGGTTTTCATTACCAGGTTGAGAGTCCAAAGCTTCTCCCGGCTCTCTTCTGGTCTTGGTCTCTACATTTTTGTAAGGGTTGTCAATAACTTCTTGCTGGCACTGAACTTGGAGTCCATCAATCCGCTGAATCTTAGTAGAAAATTTAGAGTTTTCCCATATGTTTTTTTCATCAGGAAGACATGGTGGTTGCCAAGAAGGAGGAGGAACAATACGACAGATTCCGTAAGGCTCTGCTTTGGAACGTATGCTTGCAATATATTCAAGTGTGTCTTTAAATTCCTTTAAATGTAAAAGCAACTACCTCAAACTTCTATAAACCCAAGAAGCAATCAAATCCAAATTTGAAAAAAAATATAATCAAGACATAAAAAGGAAGCATGGAAATAAACAAATCTGCATCCTATTACAGTAATGCCTAAGGTACCTCTTCTGTTGGGTGGAACATTTGAACTTCATCAAGGACATCTCTTCTTGCATCCTCAGGGCACCACCTTGCAGTTACCTGATTCAAGACGTCGGTAGAATTTCTAAGCTCAAATGGTAAAGTGAAAGTGTATGCCTAACATCAATAATTTGCTCAAGATCTGGGGACAGAAAGGAACCTTCAGACAATCATTACAATCTGGACAACCAAGAGAAACCCCTTTTGGACGAAAAGCGTGTGAAGAAAAACCCTGGAAAACCAGTTTTAAACCACACAATTATTTTTGCTTTCATGCTAAAAGAGAAAACCATTTATGAGATCTCTGTGGCTGTAATTCTATTTCTCCAAAATGAAATAGCATAAGAAAATAACCAATCGAGTTATCCTTTGTGGAAATCATATATTAACACATTAGTTATGCTCTACCTTTAAGGTCATATTACCTGATTCACAACTACCATTGGAACAAGCATATCAAGCATCCCATGCCTCTATGCCATACACCCCAAAGACAAGCACGCATCATTTCCCAACATACCTGAGGGAAATCCTCTGTGTTGGATTTCTCAGGGTCACGGTTGCTATGATCGAAAAGTATCCATGGACGATGCTTAAGAATAGCCCTATATGCAGCAGCATCATTTAGCTTCAATATACTCTCCATGCAGATTGGATCACATTCAGATTTATCAGTCTTTGCAACCTTTTTTAGCATGAAAGAAGTAAGGGATCTAAAACCAGGGGGGCTGAAGGGATTTCTTTACTTTTAGATTTCACAGATTTCCTTCTATTTTTTGATTCCATAATTACTGCAACAAAGACCAAACAAAAAATCATATAAGAAGGAGCCTCAGAGCTAATTGATAGAGTGAATTCACAGCTGAACTTTGGAATAGATCTACTATATAATGAGCTTGTGAGCAGCTTACCAGTTATCACCTAGCAGAGCTATAAATCATTCAAAAGTTCACCCTAGAGCATCAAACTTTTATAATTCCCTCAAAAAGAAAAGATAAAGAACTGAAATTTCAGCTAGGGAAGACACAAGGGTGGCATGACAAAAGAAATCAAAGCCAGAAAAAAGAAAATTATATATGATCTTGTAGTTGAGTAGTTACATGGGGCCTTTATAATATGTACCGAAGGTATGGCCTTTAACTCCACTCATACTGTGCTAAGCCTAAACCCCCTGATTCAAGCAAGATGCAAACCTTCTAAGACTCCACAAGCTTCTGCATCCTCAATTGAAAATCCGCCCAATGAGCAAGTGAACTCAACCACCCATGCTCCTTGAGCATTTCTAATTAGGCATCTACAACCAGCTTGCTCTTGAATCTAGCCCCAGTGACGAGTCAGGAGGCGTGATGCCAAAAAAGAAGCTCATTGTGGATCATGGAAGAAGCTGCAGGGGCTTGCCTTAGCGCCTAAGGCACTGAGGCAAGACGCTAAACGAGTTCAGCTCCTCTCAAATTGCCTCTTGGCACCTCACTAAAGGAGCTCCTTAATCATGAAATAACCAATAAAACACAACTTGAATGGTCCAACCCAAACTTTAATATATCATTCTCTTTTCAAAATTTATCTGTCAAACTAGCCCTAACCCCATACCATTCAACAGGGTGTACAATGGCTTTATGATGCACACACTTCAAAATTAGCTAGACATGTATGGCAGTCATTTATTTTAGTTTAATCTATACTTCCTCCATTTTCAAATATAACAGAAAATAACCAATTTACACAGTTTAAAAAAGTTAGTTAAGTATAATAATCATGTCTGAAATTAAAAAATTTGTACTGAAGTATCCCTGTAATTAATGAAACAAATTTGTCTAGTGAAAATAAACATTGACTTTATGAGAGACAATTTAGAAAACTTGTGATCAATGCTTCTTCAAATTTGTAGTTTTTCTTATAAATCAAAATAAAGAGACACATGTTAGTTTCTCTTATATTTGAAAATATAGAGAGTATAATGGCAGTATTTTAAGTTACATTTATCTTTATATATATATATATATATATCATATTCTTCTTATTTTAGCACCTGGATGTTTGCTTTCCTAGCACCTATCGCCTAAGGCGTTTTAGAGGTCTAGCAACTTAAGGGCGCCTTTGTCCTTTCACTACTGCAAGCATTTGCTTTGCTCGCTCTTAGTTCCATGCTAATGGCTGTGTGCTTCAGAGTGTAATACTCTTTCCTGTCCAATAATCTTAAAAAAATCATACCTCTTCCTTACTTCTTACTTGCCACATGGAACCCCATTAATGATTAGGGCCAGCTGACGGCCCTTGAATGCTTGCATCCCCTGATGGTACTTCCCCTCTCGATATAGACCGTTTGTTTATGGGATCTCCTATGCATCCACTGATGGCGAAAATCTATAGGACCACGTATGCTTAATTTTTAGCTCAAATTATTTTTAATTACTTCAATTCAACAGCTCATCAATTGTCAATGAGATAGATTAGAACATGACCAAAAAGCACAAACAAAATGAAGCAACAATAACATGAGAAATCGAAGAAAAAATACGCTGTTCCGTTCAGGTCAAATAAAATTTTACAGAGGATTACATGTCATGCTATAGGCTCAGGAAAACTAATAATATCATTGAATGCACACCTTTTCAATGTAACCATAATAACTTGTTTTTATGATTCAAAGAATCAAATAAATATTGCTCCTTCCTGTTCTACGAATCAATCGAATATACACCCTTTCAATTAATCAAGCAAATAACTTGAACCAGCGGAACCTTCAAGCAGCACGAAACTATGAACAGATCGAAACATAGAAATAGAGGAAGAGATTGAACCAGATTTGGATCTATTGCCGCAGCCGTCACACCCACGCCACCGTCATATGCCGCCGCCGCCGCACGCCTCTGCTTGTAGGGAAGAGTGAAATCGACGACATGGAGTCACGGGAAGAAATGAGGGATTGTGAGGTTAGAAAGCATTGGACGGTTGAGATTAGCTGATAACACTGAACGAGTCAGATTTAAATGTGTTAAATGAAACGGTGCGTTGCAACGAGGTGCATTGATTTTTTTTATTTTTTCCATTAAAATGCAAAAATACCGGAAACTTGGTATCATTAACAAGGGTTCATAATCTCATTAGTTTTATAAAAGAAGTTAACTTTTTGTAATCTTTTAAATTATATTTTTACAATTTAACTATTAACGTGAAGCTATTTTAACAAATTAAAAAAGATTAACTGATAAATGGACCAAAACTAAATGCATTGATTCAAGACTCACGTAACAAGAATTGATGTACATTTTACATTACTATATTATGTATAAATAGATTATTGATATAACAATTACAAATATTAGGATATTATATAGATGTATATTATCTCATTATATTTTTTAAATTCTCTGATATCTTTTGTTTACTATAACATTTTTCACTTATTTTTATCTTATATATTTAATTTAACTGTTATACTTGTGCTTATAAGTATAATGCATCTTAATTGTATTGAGTATGAAAAAGCTCTCAATTTTCTCATTCTTTAGTGTCATTAGGGGTGCACTTCTATTTTTGTTTTTCAATTTATTTTCATTTATCCTATTAATGGATTCGATATTAATACTTATACCAATGAACATCTTTGATATGGATGGAAGGCACGAGAGAATGACAAGTAAGGACCTTGAAAAAAATTAATATTAAATTAAAATTTCTTTAATACTAAAGTTTTCAAATTCAATACTATTTCTCACATGTCTTAATACTAAAATTCTTGATTTAACATTAATTTTTTTTATAAGATCTTTACTTGTCATTCTCCCATGAATGCACACTCTATTGAAAAACAAGACAATCTCTATAATATATTTACTTTGTTGTTTATTTATTTATTTATTGAAATCATTTAATCAATTGTTGTCTTCTTCTCTTGATTCAATTATGTATTATGTGCCATATCTAAAAATATGAGACACAGCTTATATTTTAGAAAATATGGATTATGATTCATGAAGTTATCCACAAATAAAATAGAGTTGATCTGGAAGTTATTTACACATAATATAAAGTACATTTGAATGAATTCACAAATAATATAAATTTGGATTATGAAGTTATCCACAAAACTTGAAATTATTTATAATTTATAGATCCTAAAAATATTTACATTTATTTATTTATCCTACATTCAACTACTTGTCTATATATATAATTTGTCTAACTATTTACATATATAATTTTTCATAAAAGTGGATCCTGAAATTATTTACATAATAGATAAAGTAGATCTAAAGGCTATCTATGGAACCTGAAGTGGATCCTGAAACTATTCACAAAGTATAAATTAAATTCTAAAATTAGCTACATTTAATTATTTATTTTTATTTCTTCAAAAAAATATTTTATAACTACCATATATCAGTTTGTTTACTTTATTTGTTATAATCCTATCTCAATTTTTTTGCTTATGATTATATGATAATATGAAGTTACTAACATTATTAATATAGATGGCGCATTCTTCTTAACTTATAACATATGCATATGTATAGGCAATAGTGTCTTCTATTTACATGTATAAATATATCAATTAAATTAAATATATAAGATAATAATAATTGAAGGATATTATAGTAACCAAAATATATTAGAGAATCTAAAAGATATGGTGAGATAATGGACATCAACATAATATCTTAATATTCATAAGAATTCCTATTGGACGTTTAAATATTGTGCCTTGTTAAAACTTCACTAAGAAAAACCTAATGAGATATACACAATGTTATCATATTTATTGAAGTTGCCTTTTTAAAAATCTTATCAAGAAAACCTAGTGAGACAAAATCGTAATTAAGGAAACAATAGTACAACATCACTTTTACTCCTTTTGATGATAACATCACTCCTTGCTTGTGAGCCTTCTTGAGTCAGTGTGTCATATATTATGTGTCAATTTCTTAAGTATTATTTTTTGTTGATACCTTTGCAAGCTGATATTTTCTTCCAACTGGACTATACATGAACTATTGCTTTCATGTAATGTTTTGAAACATCTTCTCTATACACTTGGTGCAAATCTAGCGGACCAATAAAGAGCTATAGACAACCCAACCCAATTAATAGAGCTAGATCATGAAGAGTATGGCAAAAGGAGTGGAGGTGAAGTACTTGAATCCCAAAAGGAGTTAGAATGTGTGATTGAGTCCCATCCCCATAAAGGCCATATGATTCATAAGATTCAAGACCATCATCTTGTGTCTAAGGATCTAATACAAGGTGTTACAAGCCTAGAGACAATAGCTCAACACAAGAATGTAAAAGAGCCCAATGATTGTGTCATAAGAAAACTTTAAGAGCCCTCGTATGTAAGAAAGGCATTCCAAGAGCAAAAGGAGCCCATTTGTGATGATCAAAGTATTGCAAGTACAATTCGTTGATCCATAAGAAGGCTATCTAAGCCTCTTTGAAGTGTTCTAATTTACCATGTGCTAATTGGAAACAAGGGATATGGGTTAAGAGAGAGAGGAGCATGTCCCAAACCCATGTTAAAGAGGACCTAATCTTGTTCAAGGTCTAAATTCATGAAGATGAAAGCCTAATTAATGAAGACCCGAGCCTATTTAATTCATTATGTGTTAAATATGCTTGAGGGGTGTTATGGACAATAGGAGCACGCATTTATGAGCAAATTTGAAAAGGGAGAAGGCCACATTTATGATCATAAATGAGGAGAGAGAAGGCATGATTTCTATCGTCTTCAAGCTTTCAATGCAAATTTGAATTGTTTCTTATTTTGTTCCAAGTTTGAATTTCAAGACTTAATTGATTTTTTTTTATTTTTAGCTTTAATGCTGATTCCTTTTTATTATTATGGCTTTATTTGGTGATTTGACTTAAGGTGTAAGACTTTAGTTATTGAAAAAGTTTTTGAATTCTCTCATTTAGCCATTATTGCTAAATCTCCAAGAAATAAGGAAACTTCCTTTTTGAGGAGATGACACCATTATGGAGGGAGTCATCTAGGGTTAGGGATTCTAGAGTCTTTTATCTTGCCTATAAATAGGCCCCCTTATATACTATTTAAACCAAGTAATGAATGAGAATTTTCTCTTGAATTTGATAAAACTCTGTGTGCAAGCCGTGCTTGCTTATGGAAATCCTAAGGTAAATACTGGTGCGATCGAAAGTCTGATCAACTCTTGTGATGTCTCAAAGTTTTCCTTTTCCTTGATTATTGTCTTTCCTTTATCAATACCTTTATCTTTACATTTCTTTGTTTCATTTTCACTTCTTTTATTCATGTTCTGCGTTTCGTCCTGAATTAGCACAATTTTGCTCCTACGCCCACATCAACACCTCTTTTAGATATGAATACACTTTCCACTTTTTGTATATTTTTAGGAGTAACAATAAAAGCCACTAATAAACAATCATAATATACATGTATTTTCATGGATAAATAATCTCTAGAAAGTCAATTTGTATAGCTTAAATTAAGCATGTATAACACATACATAGTCAATTAATTTTGATAATGAATAAGTTTAGTAGAGCAACCACACACAATAAATTCTCAGGCATATCATATCGAGTACATAATTTCGTTGCAAATCAAAGTAATATTATAAATTGTGATATTAAAGAATTCATAATGGTGTTTCAGAACCATATTTCATTATCCTTTTGAAAAAAATAATATTGATTTACACTTGATCACCCAATATTATAACATAGTTCTTTAACAATCAAGTGCTTATGTAAACTTTTCATGATATTCAGTAATGCTCAATCAATTAATTTTTTTATGCAAATTAATATGTATATATTAATGTGAACAAATGCAATGGTAAAGAAAATTCTTCAAGAATATTTATAAACTTTTATTGTAACACCTTAATTTTTATAACAAATATCATATAATGACAACAATAACGACGACGACAACAACAACTTGTCAATTAGACATTAGGATCCTAATAAAACAACCAAGGCTTTTAAACTTACAACCATTTTCCATAAATTAAACAAAAAACAAGAAGAGACTTTAATAAAAAGGATAAGGCTCTGCTAAAAATCAAATAAAATAACTCTGCAAAATAGTTTCAAAGGACCCAAAGTACTATAATTTATTAGTTTAAAACCAAGAAAATAGTAACTTAAATACACACTCTTAGGTCATGGCAATAAACAAAGCATAAACTAAACATGTATGATACCTAAAGGATAATTGAGTCATTATTCAATCCCTCCACAGCTTCCCTTGTGGCCTATCAAAAACTACACTTAAAAATTGATAGAGGTAACATGTAAGATCAATCATTTCGGTAACATATGAGAATTTTAAATATACTAGCAAACTAGTTCAAAATCTTATTTCACAATATCTATTTTTACAGAATATCTTTCGCAATACTAGCTGGTAAAATGTGTTCTGAAATAAGGGAACAAAACTTGTTTAATTCAAAAGTATAACAAACAAGTCATATAAACAAGTGATGTCATCCTTGACCCTCCTTTTTACCTCCTATCCATTTTATCCTGCTAGCCGAAGTCTAGCTCAAAGATATACCTAGCCAAATGTGCATTGCCTGTAAGACTAAACTTCCTTCCTTAAAAGAAGGTGCCTGATGTCTTATTGTCCTAAACAGCCAATCCAAGGGAAATGAGCCATAACAAGAAATACCAACAACAAGATCTTTAGTGTTGGCTTACTATGTGGCCAAAATGGTAACAAAAACCGCAACGCATCCACCATAATTATATTCTCCCTTATACTCCTTACAATTGCATAACATTCGCAAGGTTCCAAAACACACAACTATGCTTAAAAAGAGAAAAAAACATATTTCTTATAATATTTCAAATATTCATAAGCATGC